ATCCCTTTTTTGAAAAGTAGGCAGTCTGCAGTATTCAGTAAAAGGTATGGAGAGTTTTTGAAGTTGTAAGTTTTTGTCATAATTTTTTGGAAAATAAAAAAAAATAAAACATTTCTTTTTCACTATTTTTGCTTTTTTACATACTGTTACCAGTGCAGTGCAGCATCATCATATAACTGGTTTGGTGGTGATCAAGGACACTGACTGGTGACAGTATGAAAAAAAAATATTTATTTTGGTCACTTTTTTATATTTTTTATGACATTCTTTTCTAATGATTTTTTTTTTTCATAAAACACTGTGACCAGAGTAATATATTGTTACCATAGTAATATTGTACTACACTGGGGAAGTGATCAGTATTTATTTTTTTACACATTATGATTGCCTATAGCAATTTCACTGCATTTAACTGAATAAAATCAATTTATTTAGCATTTTTGCTGGGATTAGCTGTGATTGACCACAGTTAATCACGTGACACAGATGGGCTGTGATTGGCCCAGTCTGTACCATGTGATCCCTTTGGCCAATCACAGCTAGCAACACAATTGTATACAATGGATAGCATCCAGGGGCGGACTGACCATTTGGAAACTCAGGCACTGCCCGAGGGCCCGGGGTCAGTTGGGTGCCCTATGAGATGCCCCTGGTACCTTTTTCATAGGCTTTTTTGAGTTTGGGCAAGGACACAGGGGCCCAATGATCCCCTATTGCCCGGGGGCCCCATGAGTTGTCAGTCCGCCCCTGATAACATCCATTTTTTTTACAATAGTCATGTGACCTGCTGTGATTGGTTACAGAAGTCACATGGTACTGGAAATGGACTGGTACACAGATCAGTCTGATGGACACAGCCAGTGACAGATCTCGCCGCAGTGCCCCCGCCCGGATTGACTGGTTAAAAATATTAGCATCTGATCCATTTTCACCATTTGCCATATATTATTTCAATGTGCCCCCAACCTGGTAGACAACCGAAACCTCTGCCCTGACTCCTTTTCCCTTTAGACTAAGCCAGATTGCCTATCCATTCTCCCTGGTTTTGGTTACACCTCTGTAAATGTTGACTGGTCACTTATAAAGTCCTTTTTATGTTAGTAATAGTATTCATGCCACACCACTTTTACATGATTGCCTCCTAATCTTTTGTAACCCAACGTATTATGTTGTACAATATTAAACGGACCCCTTAGACCACATTTTTGCTTGTTAAAATTGTAATCAATGTGTTCTATAACTGTTGTAACCTCATCAAACCAATAAAATACATTGAAGAAGAAAAATATTGGCTAGCGCATTATTTTTTCAGCAGAGATACATTATTTTTGGTTGCATTATGCTCTATTGATTCTTATTATGCACAATGTTATCTCTATTATTTTGGAGTAGCACTAGCTTTTTCTTACTTCGTTAACATTCAGAAATATCCAGCCACTCACTAATTTTCCCAAGACAGCTGAAAATGCCTGCTAGAACAACTAATGCTCTTCTCGTGTCTGTGGATACCTTGAGGCAATCAGATCAGCCCCTTTAATTCCAGCAACAGGAGGACAAAACAGACAGCCTCAAGTAAAGGTGTAGGCTTTCCAGTAATATGTTTTGTTATGCGTTTAGAAAGCAGAGATTGGTGTAAAATCTATTCCGCTGAAAGCTATTTGTTTGTTTCTACCAGCATGAAAAGAGCCTGATGTAAGACATCCCTTCCCGGTGTAACGACAAATAACAGCGTGCTGTGCAAAAATAGCCTTATGTTTACAATACCATATCAAGCATGAACAGAAAACAAAGGGAAATCTTCCTGTGTAGCCACACTTTAATATGCATAGCATTGTAGATGAATGCATAGCCAAGCTGAAAAGGCAAGCTCTGCCTGAACATTAATAAATATAACTTTGCAAATTTAGCAATTCCCAGTCTAGTACAAAACTTAACATATTCATGAAGAATCTTTCATGTGCTTTTGATCCAGGACACTACAATAGATTGTTTTCTGCTCTGTTAACAGCTCCTTTTGTCATATTCTCCCCTTTTTAAATGTGCTTTCCTCTTTTCATCATGTTGGCAGTTGGGATATAAAATGTATTTAGAATTAACAAGCTTGAAGAAAGCCTGCATGGTCGTAAAGTTTAGAGTAATAATACTCCCAAATGTGCAGGCAAATTTTTTCTTCCTGTGAGTATTTTTATTAATTTCAAAATTATTATCTGTGTGCCAGTAAACCTGTACAGTTTGTGTGAATTCTGTGTGTAGACCTCAAATTCTGCTCTGTAGCTATTACTCATTACCCATAGAGGTAAGACCAATCTTAACCCCTTCCTGCCCAGCCTGGGTGACCTTTAATAGGGTATGGAAATCTAGGAGGGGGGCAGGAAAGATCAGTAATCATGTGACCACTGTGATTGGCACAAACCTCCATAAGAAATAGCACCACTAAAGACCAGCACTTCCCTCACTCACTGTGAGCATCCAGGGTGCTGGCTGATCAAGCCCACTTGTTGTCTAAAATTGTGGATGAAAAGGCGCTGCACACCAAAATCTCATTCCTCCAAAGCTCTTTATTCAGCTGTCAGTAAAGCAAGTGCATCCATGTTGTCCTTGCCTAGGAACGCATTTCACCAAGGAAGGCTTGATTGCAAGAAACAGTGGGGACAACATGGGTGCAATTTATTTACTGACAACTGAATAAAGAGCTTTGGAAGAATGAGTTTTCAGCATGTGCCTACTATTTATCAACTCTGTGATCATTACTTTCTTATTTTTTCTTGTTGTTTATGTCATTTTTCAAATGTATGTGTCTATGACGGGGGTATAATGTCAGGGGGCAGGGCTTAGCTTTTGTTTTTGTTCATCGATTGGTGGATGGCTCTTTCAATAGTTTGTTCACTGTATTCCACTTTTTCACATGCCTGATGAAGGGGTCCTTTGAGGCTCCGAGATGTTGCTTCTGACGTAACAATGTGATAGCTGATTCGTGGTGTGCTGGTGACATTCTTTCATTCAGAGTGATCTGTATAATGCATAGGTGGCAAATGATCTGAAGGTGGCCTGAATGTTGCACAGAACAGAAATGTTGCACAACATGACATTTTCCCTTAACCATGCAAACTTGGCTCATTTTATTGTTTTCAGCCCCATTGTTTAGGAGGCACTCAACAAAATGGTGTCAAAATCACCTGGCGAGTGCCTTCTTTTATTACCTGTGAGTATCCAGCTTTAAAGCACCTAGCAAGCCTGCAATAGCCTTAACATTGACATTGGGTGAACAAGCACTTGAACCTATGCCACAGGGAAGGAGAGGGGCCAAGTTGACAGCTTATCTTGTTGTAAAACAACAGTGATTAACTGGAAAAAACATCTCCAGTTGACTAGTTCTTCCTCTGGAAATAGACTTATGATTGCTCATTCACCTGGCCATTTATGAGCAAACATTCTCATATTTCTGTAGGTAATTTGAGGTCAGCCAGGTTAGAATAGCTAAAAGACCTTATATATACTGTAGCTTGCACCTGGGATCTGGTGGCACACCAAACACATTTATAATTAATGGACTTTGAAGTATTGCTATGTTTGCACATTTGTATGACCTGGTTGCATTTCTTTAAAGAGGTAAACATGCTGAATATCAATGGTAGTGCAAATATTTGTCAGCACAGCTACAGAGTGCTCATTGTAGTTATGTCAATTAGCACTATCATTGTATATGGTCTTAGAAGCTATTTAACATGTACGTATGCAACTTTTATTGGCAAATTTTCTTCAGATATGTTTTACAGTCTGTGCTGGTAGAGATCTCTTTACTTGTATAAAAGTTATAATTTTATCATTTACTGTACATATGTTGGCTATGTAGAAATCTGACCAACTCAACAACTTCAGCTTCAGATCACAATAAAAATAATACGAAACTTCAACAGCGAACTTTGAACTGGTACAATTCACTAAACGGTATCTTACCGTAAAATACAGCATGAATTATATTATGAAGTCGTGAGGTATTTTAGTAGTGGAAACATTCTTTAATGTTTAAGCTGTCTGTGGGGTTCCCCACGGACAGCTGCATGTAAACAGAATTTCTGGAAATTAAAAAAATAACCAAAAAACGGAGTGGAGTCTCCCCCAAAATTCATACCAGACCCTTATCTGAGCAAGCAGCCCGGCAGGTCAGGAAATGGGGGGCTAAGTGAGCTCCCCATCTTCCTGAACCATACCAGGCCACAACAACATGGGGAGGATGCTTTGGGGCAGGGGGGCTCCCCCCCCCAAAACACATTGTCCCCATGTTGATGGTTGATGGGGACAAGGGCCTCTTCCCCACAACCATGGGCGGTGGTTGTGGGGATCAGCAGGTGGGGGCTTATTGGAATCTGGAAACCCCTTTAACACGATGGCCCTTAGATCCCACCCCCTCCCTATGTGAATAAATATGGGATACATGGTACTGCTACTCATTCACAAAAAAAAAGTGTAGTGTAAAAAATTACAAAAGGCAGTCTTTGATAAGTCCTTTATTAACCACTTGCCTACTGGGCACCTATACCCCCTTCCTGCCCAGGCCAATTTTCAGCTTTCAGTGCTCTCACACTTTCAATGACAATTGCGCAGTCATGCAACATTGTAACCATATGAAAGTTTTATCATTTTTTTGAGACAGATAGAGCTTTCTTTTGGTGTTATTTAATCACCTCTGGGTTTTTTATTTTTTGCTAAACAAACCAAAAACAACTGAGAATTGTGGGAAAAAAAGTTTTTTCTTAGTTTCTGTTAGAAAATTTTGTAAATAAATGATTTTTCTCCTTCAATGATATGTAGTAATGAGGCTGCAGTGATGGGCACTGATAGGCTGCACTGATGGGAATTGATATGCATCACCGATAGGCACTGAAAGGCAGCACTAATATATGGCACTGATAGGCGGCACTGATAGACAGCACTGACTGGCACTGATAGGTGGCACTGACTGGCACTGTTAGGCAGAACCGATAGGCGGCACTGACTGGCATTGATTGGCAGCACTGATAGGCGGCACTGACTGGCACTGATAGGTGGCACTGATATGTGGCATTGATGTGCACTGGTAGGCACTGGTATGTGGCATTGATGTGCACTGATGGGAACTGGCAGGTGGCATTGATGGGCACTGGAAGGCAGCATTGATGGGCACTGACAGGTGGAATGGATGGACACTGATGGATGGCACTGATGGGGCTAAACTGATCATCAGTGCCCTGATGATCAGTGTAATATCCTCTCTGAGTAATGCCGATTACCGGCTCTGCCCTCCTCATGAGCTGTCAGCGTGACAGCTCCTGAGGAGATGAATGCTGATAACTGGCATTTCCCTTTTTACATGCGATCAGCTGTGATTGGACACAGCTGATCACATGACAGAGCCGAAGTCATCAGCTCTTTCCATTGATCGGGGATCCGCTGTGTCCCAGGGACACAACCCACCCTGGGGGCGCTCCCTCGTGGTTATAGTGGGAGGACGTCATATGATAGTACTGCTTCACACTTTTGTTAAAGCAGTTACATAGTGGGTCTAATTTTGATTCAACGGTCCAATAGGCTTCAGAACTTGACCACTCTGTTCAGTGCACTTTAACTGACCTGGTCGGATACCCCCTTTTTTTTTTAACAATATCAGTGTGGATGAGCCCAATTGTGATGAGGGGCACTGAAATGGGAGTACAGCCATTGTATTTTCCATAGTAAACAATCAGTTTCCAATTTGTTCAGTTAAACTTTGAAAACTAAATATAGAAGTTGATTTTTTCCATTCAAGGCTGCTCCAGAGTCTGGCTGCGCCAGTTTTGAGAATATTCACTTATGATTTTTTTTCTAAGTGAAAAAAAACACATTTTTTTTTTCATTTAGGCATTTCTAAGTGAAAATCAGTTAACATACACCTGTACTCAGACTTTTTATAGGCAGTGAAAGCTTTAAAGCAAGCAATTTCTCTAGATGAATGTAATATATTCTCAAAGATCATAACAAAGATTCTAAAGTTGGCTTTCAGTCATTTTATAATGGCTTACAAACATCTGCTATGTGTTGACATTAGAAGGCTAAGACATTGAAAAGATTTTGCTCTTCATAGAAAGTATAATGGAAATAACATGTGATTTTAGTGCCTTTGTTGTGAACTTTAAAGCTGAATGTCTCCATAATGTCAATAGCTATATAGGTGAATGAGGGCTTGTTTTAAAGTGATTTTACTGCTTGTTTAGAATACATAGATACTTTATTGTGAGTACTGTGGGCGCAGGTTCATTTTAAAAAGCATTTTTTGTGTGTTTTTCAATTGTTTTTAGGCTTGAGTGTTTTCTTTTATTAGCCCATGGAATGCTAGTTACCAGGAGGAGGAGATAGATGTTTAGTATGGAATCACATTATGTACATTTTTTTTTAGTTTTTTTTTCAGGTGCTTCAATCAAAGTCTATTCCTGAACCTTGAGCATTAACACATCACTCAGATGTAAATGTAGGATTAAGGAAATTAAAATCTTTACTTACTCACTTAATCACTCACTCAATCTTTACTTTACATCTTGTAAAACAACCTATTCAGTTTAAAATAGAAGTGAAAGGCAAAACATGTATATAGATAGATATCAAAAGAAAAATTATAAGCACTTTTTTCCTTTTTTTTAAGTGATCACATACCTCTCTTCTCAGCTGCAGAAGAGCTAGGTGAGGAGAAACAGCATCACACTAAACTTCCCAGTGAAAGGCTGTGCAGGGGTGCATATTGTGACAAGTCTGATCATTGGAAGACAGCAGACTGAGTCCTCAGCACAGCTAGAGAACTGACCACATGTTCTCCTGCTCAGTGTTGTCAGTTTTTAATAGTAAAGCAGAGGGACTGGCAGGAACACCAGGGGTTTCACGCAAAGTAAGCAATACGAAGAGAACAAGATACTTTTACATGGTACAGCAGGCTGTACAACTTCTCTTGCAATGATCCCATGACATTTATTTGGATAAGGATGTATTGAGCACAAAGAGAGGTGCTCAATGTCAGTGCCATTTAGATGAAAATTTTACCAGCACCTAAAAAATAAAATATAAATAACAAATTATTATGTATTACCAGAGTATACTTTTAAAGCTGATGAAAAACACTTATTAATTTAAGTGCACTTAGTTTGAGCTCCAGGTATATAATTTGTAGGTATTTAGGCATTACATTGAGCCATTTCCACTATGTAACAAAAACCCATCCCTCTTCACAAATGCAAATTATCCAGCCTTCTCCAAAACCCACATGTATTCCAATAGATGTTTATGAAGCAAAGACAAATATGATACATTAAATGTGAGCAATCAAGGTTTTGTAATAACCTAAATGAAATGTAAAACAGCCAGCACATGTCTCACAGCGACAGATCCAGACAGTCTATCCGCCATGAAGCACTTAGAAATTTAAAGGCCCCATCTTCCCCCCACCCCCTTGTCATTTTCCCCATTGTATCATTGTGTCTCAGCAGGATATTACTAATAACTTGACAGTCAATCAAGGAAAATTGCAGCAACGTTGTAAACTCATTTTAAAGTATTCTTCATTTTTCTTTTGCCAGCGCTGAAAAAAAACCCAAGAAGGCGGCACTTGTATTCAATCTTTTATTTAAATCAGCCATCACAGCGAGGAAGTAGACATTCTGAAAATAGTAAATGTGCTTACAGTGAAGACAGGGAAACATGATACATTTAAATTGGTCAATTTTATCTCATTATATCAATCACAAGTATTTTCTGTGGATCAGGTAAAATGAGAGTCAATCTTAATTGTCTATGTTAGATTATGTATGATCTTATCAAAAACACGATAGCAGCAAATTCATTACTGAATAAGACATCAAGCTTTTAGGATAAAGTAGTCCTAAAATCATGGTTCACTTGTAAATAAAAGTAAAATATACACAATTGTTTTGCCACTATTGATTATGCTGTTGAATTTCGGGCACCTGTCTTCATAAGGGACATAGAAGATCTTGAGAAGGTTTGGAGAATTTACCAAGCAAAAAATAAATGTTATCTTCACATAAAAAACTTACACAGAAGTGCAGGCACCCTTATTTATTGGGATGTCAGTCTTCTCTTTTTGCTGAAAATTTCCAGAGCACTAAAATGGAAAGCTTAGGTGGTCACTGGTTGTCCTGCTCCTCTATATTGGTTACTGAGACCCCCGGTGATAGTAAAGGCACTGTAGTAAAGATGAGGAGACTTGAAAGTGTACGTACTTCAATGTACGTTGCATTTTTATAAATTCAGAATAACCTCAAATTTTGTTTAAACTATAGAATAAAATTTTGGTTATTCTGTCTGCTGGGTTAAATTACAATGGTCCCAAAGAAAAGAGGGCATATTATGGGACAACTGGGAGGCATCAAAGTACCAATCTTTGAAGAGTGGTGGAGTTCCTGTAAGTTAAAGTGTATGTATAGCCAAAACTTTTTATGTTTTGGATAGAGTAGGTAGGGGTTAAAAACCCTTGTTGGGTTATTTTATTGATGCCTCTGTACCTTTGGGGAAATTTCCCTTTACTTACTTACTCACTCTCTATTGGTTAGTAAGACCCCCTGTGATAGCAAAGGGACTGTAGAAAAGATGAAGAGACTTAGTGGCTGAGGAAGAGTCTCTATGGAACCATAGTTACTATTAACATATCAGCAAGTTCTGGTTTTCTTTAAAAATAAAATTATGAATAGACACCTGGGCATGTCCGTATTTCAATGTACATTGCATATTATTAACTTCAGAATAACCTCAAATTTACTTTAAACTATTAACTTAAATGTGGCTTATTCTCCTTGCTGGGTTACATTATGGGACAACTGGGAGGCATCAAAAGACCAAGCTTTTCAGAGTGGTGGAGTTCCTGGAGTTAAAGCGTATGTATAGCCAAAACTTTTTTTTTGTTTTGGATAGAGTAGGTAAGGGTTAAAGAAAACTTGTTGTTTTATTGATGTCTCTGTACCATTAGGGAAATTTCCCTTTTCTTACTATCCCAAGGATGCAACAGGAAGCTAAAAGAAATCTTCTGTTTTGGGGCAGCTATAAAATGTTAGACTTCCCATCATTATCTTTCTCAGTGACAATGGTCGACAGTACAAATACAAGGGTCAATTTCCCTAATAGGAGAGCAGAGAGCATGACACTTGACAAAGGGTCCTAACCTTTTCCACTGTATCCAAAAAAAATCCTTGGTTGAAAATATTTCAGTACCGTAGCATTAAGGTCCATTCACAAAAAAGGCAGGCAGCGAGTGTAAGATATATCAAGGAGTCAAGGACAAAGGCAAGATACAAAATTTCACAGATATATTATAAGCCAAAAGAGCTGGAAACTGGCCTTTTGGTCTCCTATCAAGAATAGGAAAATACTTGTTTAGCAATCTTATTTTATATTGTAAGGGAAGCACTGATTTTGTATTTCTATAACTTATTACAATATGCAATACATCTACTGTATGCAATGAGTAGGAACCCATTGCAGCAAGCCACATTTTAGTTTGCTGTAGTCACGTGAGTACAAAGATTATATCCTACTATTTTGGTATATGGGTTAAAGTACTCAGAACATTGTCACTTTAGTATTTCTTTGTTAAATATGCCTGCAGTGTGTAGTTATAATGACCAATAAAAAACAATGTGAACATACTGTACACTACAAGGCAAAGACTGTCCAGATAGAATGGTGTATTCAAGAGTATTTGTGGACTGCAGAGAACATCTGTGGGTTGCTAATTTACGATCAGCACTGTTTAATAAAGCAGCAAAGTTCACTACAGTCTGTGCTCAGCCTATACCTTCACCCCACAGGAGCATTAAGCTGGTCCAAGTAATAGTACATTCTGTTTTATATAATAGTTCTTTAACATCATTGTCTCTCTAGGCTTGGCAATGGTTTGCTGCATACATAAACTTGCCATATGTGCCAATGAAGCTTTGTATCCCACTCCAGCTATTTCTATTGGCATAAAGTCCCCCTGGCCTTTTACTTCCCTTCATATCAACAATGTAAAATTGGGAATATGTTACTTATGTATTTTGGGAAAGAAAGGAGAATATAGTGATGATAAAGCTATAGAAAATTATATACTGTATATTAAATTGTATAGGCTCATTTCAAGGGTTACTGTAAGTTTCTTAAGCCTTATCCAATGCAACAAAGTGGGACTTATTTGCAAAAATAAAACAGAAATGAAAAACAATTATTGCAACAAACACATTTTTGTTCGCTATCCCAGGGCAGGTGAGATGAGGAAAGATAC